AGAGAATTAATTTAATAAAGGATTTAATTGAAGAAAAAATACTTTAAATCCCTGTACATCAACTCCAAGAACAACCTAAGCCATTACTTAATCCATAAATCAATCTTTAGGATGTCCAATAAGATAATCTATGATAACTTAAGCCATTCAATGTGAAAAAAGGGAGAGAACACACATACTTCAACTTGCACACACCAATTTGCAAAAGCAAAACGGATTCATGGAGAGAAGATGTCACACAACCATAATTAATATTTTCCAGCGAACTTCCTGTTTTTCACCTTATTAACATGTAGCATTAGCAAACAGAAGGACAGGATATAAGGATTAATTAAAATGTTTTGGAAACTCAAATCCTTCTTTTCTTCAGCTGCCTGTGGAGCAGGAACGCTGAACCCAGTTATTTTAATGCTTCCATAAGTCAGACCGAAGCGCTGCTCAGGAGCGTCTGCTTTCGAGGACACTAATATCCTGTTTAAGAAACCGTGGGAAATGCAGTCATAGCTGCTGATCTTTCTCAGCCGCTGTTGGTCTGTGTAGAACAAAAAAACAAGGGTTTCATTTTGACTGGGTAATCCTTTTTATTTTTGCCAACAGCCCTTCAACATCCAACATCCAATCAAAATGAGCTCCACTCCTCGTCTCTAAATCAAACTGTAAACCTAAAAGCATGGAAAAGTGAATTTGATGTAAAAAAAAAAAAAACAGGCTTGGAGCAGGTGTTGGCAGTTGTGCCCTGAAGGCAGCAGCTGCATTTTAAAAGAGAGAACAGGTGGCAAAAATCTGGCAAAAAAAAATAAAAGTGGACAGTTCATCATCACTCAACATGTCGCCACACGGATGGAAGAAATGTAGCCTGGAGGCGGCAATTTAATTCCTACGACATTCTTTTAGTGTCAGGAATGTGAGCATGGGGTAATATTTTAGCAGGGCTGCAGAAGCTGAGCATTTTTTAATTTTTTTTCCCTCTCTCTCTTATCTGGACAGGTTTGTAGGAGATGCCCTCCGAACAGAAAGAGGGCGCTAATGAGCACACGCAATATGTGGCATTTGAAGTCACAGATAGACAAATTGATGTATTTATACTTCTCCTGTATTTTCATTTAATCTGAACAGTTGACAGAAATAGAATAACTTAAGGGAGGCGTTATATAGATTGATGACCACAGGTAGGAATGATTTCCTGTGGCGCTCTGTGGTGCATCTGGGTAGGAGGAGCCTTCTGATGACTCCTCCTATGGAGATATAGCCCCGGTTTATTTGTGGTACTTATGGCATTTGATACCCACTGCAGTCACAACGAGTCCTATCAACTGACCTCTGCTTTTGGGACAGGTTTCAAGTTGACCTCAAACTTTCTTAGGTAAAAGGATACTAATTTTGTTGAGGGTTCTTCCTTAGATGAGAGTTGCGGCTCTACATCAAAGTGATAGATCCACTGAGCCAGAGCGGAGAACAAGATTCAGGCGCCACATTTCCTTGTGTCTAATCGTAGATCAGCAGACATTTTGTACTTAACTGTAGCAGTTTAATAAACTCAAAGAAGCTGCATCGACAGCCAAAACATTTTATGGGAATGGGGGGCAGGAATGTACTTCCCCAATACCATAGGGGCAAGAACATTAATCTATTTAACATGGATATCAAGCCTATGTGTATCTTTACAGGTATGTTTTGTGAAAAAGGCAAATCTTGGTCAGAGGTTAAATTCTTGGATGTCGTTCAGGGTTCCCTCATACCCTGGGCTCTGTACAACTGACCCCGTCAGCAAGATTGCTGCATGATATAGCAATTTGTTGCCTTTGGTACCCTTGCAGCAAGAAGGTTTTAGGTTGTAATGCCAGCCAAGAGTCTTTCTGCATGGAGTTGTCATGTTCTCCCTGTGCATGCTTAGGTTCTCTCTGGGTACACCAGCTTCCATCCAAAGTCCAAACACATGGGAGTTTGGTTCGTTAGAGTGTGGGTATGGTTGTATTTCCTGAAAAGGTCTGATGGCCTCTATAGGGTGTACCTCGTCATATCCCCAAAGGTTGCTAGACATAGCTTCTCATATCGCTGATCCACAAGTAGACAGTAGAAGATGGAGAGTTTTATTTGCAAGAAAGCTCTACGTCTGAGGAGTTCAGGTATAGATCTGCATTACCACTCAGACAGAACTTAACTAAATGATTCCAAGGGCATTTCAGTGCACACTCAGACAATGTTTTTTCTTGAGAAGCCTTGTGATTATAGTGGAATACCCAAGAATAGGGGGAAAAAGCCTCTTCAGTAACTGTTATCTGAGTTTTTGCATCAAGATGTGTTATTTTTACAGATTTCCTGCTTTGCCACCTTCCCACACATTTGCCAAGTACCTCTATGAGTATACAAGGATTTGTAACACCTTCTTCGATGACGATTTTATTGTAGCTTGAGTCTGCACTGGCTGAATGGCAGGGAAAACTGATGTTAAACTCATGTTAAAGTGACAGAGTTGTGGAAGGGAAATAAAAGCCTTGTTTACCACACTTGGCACCCTTCAAACACCTACATTTATGGCATTGAAATGCATTGCTGAATAACAGTGTTTAGGAGTATACTGTATGCGTAACTGACTCTAAAGCAATGTTTCTGCCTCCCACGGCTCTCGCTATGCAGACGTAGCAACAGTTTAACTGACTCGATCATTCTCTTCACATCCAAACAACAACAAACTTGGATGAAGGAGCTGGAAATACAGGAGGGGTGAGGCAGGACTCCCCCGTAAAAAAAGAAAGAGGACAGAAGGAGGGCATGTTTGCTCCCCCTTATCGTCCAGTCCTACACCATTGTGCGTCACCTCGAGTTTGGTTTACAGAGAGGAGACAGTTCGCCTGGGAGCTGCCCAGCAACCTTCCAGGCAGACGGAAACAGAGACGGGCAGAGAAGAAGGGCGGAGGGAGCGTGGGCCAACATGTTAGTGGAGATGTGATGGATCCTGATTACTCCTAGCAATCCCAGTCGTGTTTTTGTCCTCAACACAGGACAAATTAGTACTTTCAATATAATGCGAAACAATTCGATGTTCATTAAGGTGGCGGAAATAACTTCATGTGGGCGATTTGCAAAATGATCAACCAGTTGGTGCCTTTAAAAGTCCTCCCACGATTTCGATCTAGATTTCTAACTTTGCAGTTATGCAACCCTCCATGCTTTGTATGGGCACACATACTTCACAAAACGTCCAATAATCCCTCCTCTGCATTGGGTTGAAATACCATAAAGGAATCACTTGGGAAATCTGACTATTTCATGTTAAAAAGTGTGTTGGTGTTGGGCTTTAGTTAGAACCTGATGGACAATCATGACTGTGAATGGGATCAATTTTGGACTTCCTCCTTGATTCATGTAATTTTTAGAGAGGGGCTAATATTAAGCCTCCTTGCTATCTCCACACCTGTCTCTATTTTCACCAAACAGGGACATACCTGCAGGAAGTCGGTAAGTTTTTCTGCTTGTGTAACCTTAACCTATTGTGTCAGAAAGCGAGAAATGATTACAAACGAAAAATGGCTAATTGGTAATGTTGCGGACGCCATGTGTGTAACTGTGTAACTTTTAGCCACTAGGGGTGCTAGACCTGCAACTTCCTGGTTTAGTACTCCTTAATTTGCCACAATGTAATGTTGCAAAGTGAATCAGTCTGTCTCTATGTTTGGGAATCTGCTAGCAGACCACTTTTGACTAGCAGATTAAGAGGTCATAGAATTACTTGGTTAGTTAGCTTGTATAGAGTACATTTTTATCCGTTTTTTGTTGCAAGCAGTGAAAAAAAATGTAATTGGAGGCCTGAAAAAACCCAATTCTTATGAATGGATATAAATTAGAGTAATTATTCAAATTTCTCACATTTAAAGTAGGATCACATTCTTTTGGTTTTCTCTAGAATGAGAAGCCAATTGGACCATAAGGACACAAGCAACGACATTGTATTGGTAATTATGTGTGTCAATTTAGCATTTGAATTGAGCCTGAAGCAGGGAAAATGTTGTCTGTAAAGAATGCAATTTGTAAAACTCAATCTGAATAAAATAAATTTGATAATAATCAATTAACTAATTAATATTCAATTGGTCAGTTGTTGACTATTGCTCTTTGTTGGAGTCATATCACTTCATCCAGACTTGTCTAATGTTCCACACTACAAAATAAGTGATAAAATAATGTATTATTCATGCTGTTACTGTATCAGTTAAATAACGGTATCGTTCAACACTCAAAGCTACAAAATCAGTACCGTATCGGAATTAAAAAAGTGCTATCAGGACACCCATACTCAACAATAATCATGATGACATGTAAGCAAGCAGAGGTCTGGTATCAAAAGTATTGGGATCTACAGATATCCTACTCAAGTATTGCATCGGAATCGAAAGTGAAAAAATATGTATTGGTGCACCCCCTGAAAAAAATAATCATCTAAACATTGATTTCAAATTTCCTTCCTACTACAAATGTTAACAAAGGTAGAAACTAGATCGAACCAGGCTTGAAATGACGCTTTATATCAGCATATCACCACCTGCTTTAAAACACACCCTGACTGAGATGTCTGAGCACTCCTGACAGCGCATCCTGTCCTGGCGTCTTGCTCAGCGTCTTTTTTATTCGCCTGACAACCTGCCTGCGGTTAAGCATATGCAACCAAGCCTTGAATGTAGATAACCAGGTGAAAAGCAGAAAATTCTTATAAAGGTCTCAAAATATGCTCTCAGAGCTGAGCGTTAGCTGAACAATCAGTCTAGACAGACAGAACCGGCCCAGAGCTTATCAGAACATCAGCTCTATATTCAGTCTGTTGTTTTCAAAAGGTCACCAGGTGCAAATATATTGAGTCATTTGAATTTCTGCAAATAAAAAGAAGGAGGAGGAAGATATGTTGATTTTACTTTAAAAGGTGAGCAGAAAGGAAAGCCTCCATGGGATAAATGCTGAGTTCTTTTCATGCATATTCAAGATGATGCAGGGATATACCAGCCTACCTGGTGAGGTGAGTCCAGATTTTTTGTGTCTGTAAGGAAGGACCAAAGGGAGGCCAGCGGCTTCTGCAGAAAAAAGAGAAGAAAACAGATGAGAGAGAGGCAGAGGAGAGAGAACCAGAGTCATTGGGGCAGCGGCGCATTCGCAGATATGAATGATGTTTTTTCTACGCCGGCTCTACCGGCAAGAGCACACTGCTGCAGCTTCCACACTTCCTTCTCACACACACACACACAGACAAACAGCGAGCCAATCGGCTGGCCGCCTAGCATCCCCTCCACCAGCGTACACACCGACAGCCAGGGCTGAAACCAGTGTCTGCATCAGAGTGGGGAGGGGTAGAAATGGGGGTTGGGGATGGGTGGGTTCCTGCCTATGTCTAAGCACGAGAAACGTGTCCATGTTCTGCCCATTAATTCATATTTGAAAGGGATACCAGGCCCATCAAGTCCCCCCCGGGGGAATTGATTTTAAAGATGAAAGAGCTTTTTTTCACTAAAATCCCCAGAAGCATTTTTTTCTTACCACTGTGTTCATCTCATTTGCTCCTTTTTTTGGCTCAGAGGCGCTAGGATTATGAATGCACAAAACATCCAAACATGACAGCAAATGAGGCTTGAGCTTATATGTGAGGTGCAAGGAAGGGTGCAGGGCTTGCCCCATGCTGAATAATTGCTCTGTCAATGGGGCTCATTTGCAGGCAAGGCCGAATGCTGCAGCAGAACTGAAACAAAGCCACTGAAAGGGTGCAAAAAGAAGGGCCTGAGTTAAAGACTGCAGAGGCCGCTGGACCAGCAAAGCAAACTCCTACAACCCAGAAGGATTGAAAATTTGAAATTCTCCACTCATTACTCCCACCGCAAACCATATGAAAGGACATTTATTTATAGAGCACAGACCAGCCTCGCCGTAGCTATCCATCACCTGCAGTACTAAAGATGTCAGAGTAAATAACAATGACATTATGAGCTTAGTGGAAGGGCTGAGGAATGGGTGGGAAAACAAGCAAAAAGACCAGAGAGAATTAAGCTCCTTCATCTTTAAAGTCATTATTAATACTGTAATACACCAGGCCAACTGTTATCTGTGGCCCCATTAGGCCATAAGGTGTGCTCTGTTTGGGAAATATATAGATGTAAAAAACACAGTGGCCAAGGACTGCAAACATGGTGTACAGACAAGCAAATTAAAAAAAGTCATGCAAACTCAGAAATGAGACCAGAAATAAAAATAGACTAACAAACTTAAAAAAAAAAATAGTAAACACAAAATTTAGAATGGCAAAGTTAACATAAAGACCAGAAAAACTCAAAAGAGAGACTAGCAAACACACATCA